GGCAACCTTTCAAATGTTTGAACACAGCTACAGTATCCCTCCCAAATCTTCTCCCCATTTGCTTCAAAATTCCAGTTTGGCCTTAACCTTTCACCCACTACATCTTCCTTTCCCTTGGGTATCTTTTTTTAATATATTAACTTCCAGAGAATCTCTCTTCCAATTCTATACCCAAACCACTCCCCACACACACGAGTAGCACCATTTTAAAACATCTTTGGATCTCAACCTCCTATTGTGCAGTGTCTGATATGTTGGGGAAGTTGATGCTCTAATTTGAGAATTAAATAGATGTCAAGAGCACAGCCTCTGAAGTCAGGGAGACCAGTGTTCAAATCTGGGCTCTGCCACTTACTAGCTGTGTGACCTCAGGCAAGCTTCTAAGCCTTTCTGAGCTTCAGTTTCCTCATCTATAAATTGGGAATAGAGGCATTTACTACCTGGAGTTACGGTGAATATCAAATGAGATAAGGCAGGTAGAACACTTAGGACAGCTCCTGGCAACATCATTCAGCTCCTACGTGGCCATTATAACCAGATTTTTCTCGTGTTTGGGGCTGTAGGGAGCGCTTTGGGGAAGAGTAAGGTGAAAGGGCAGAGAGGAAAAAAGAAGACTTTGTGGAGTTAGCCTTTCCCATCTAGCACAAATCCCAGGTGAAATCCAACAAATGAGTACCTTGTTGCAATCCCATTTCCAGGGGTGTCTGACCACCTCCACACCCCCACCGACCCACACATAAACACACACACACACATAAACACACACACACACACACACACACACGCATAAACACGGGCGGGCCTTGACAGTTCTTTGACACTCAGAGGGTTTAAAATTTAAATGTCTTTGAAGGCAAGAGAAACACACCAAAATAAACACACCTCCGGCTCAGCAGAGAAAGGGAAACTTGGCAGGGGCCCCAGAACTTTCCCCACCCCCAGCCCTCCCTAAACTTCCTCTTGTGGTTTCTCAAGAGTACAACCTGTTCTCAACCTAGAGAACAGCGCCTGGGGCAGGGGGCTGGGGCTTGCTGAGGCTTCCATCGCACCCCACCCTATGATGAGAAGGAAGGAGGGTGTCTGTGTAGAGGAGTGGCCTAGAGGTCCACATAGTTCTGACCTTCACATCCCGCTTACCAGTGATCTCGGTGTGGCCGCCCTCTACCCTCAACTCCCAGCATCAACACCCATCCCCCCAACCCACACCCCTCCCTCAAAGGCAGAGGCTAGAGGTAGTTTGACTGCAGGCAGAGAAGGACAGCCTCTGGGCCTCCCCAGATCTGTTTAGAGGGCTAATGTGAGAAATCTAGAGTTTCAGAAAAGTAGTGGAAAAATGGCTGGAATCCATGGAACCTCTGCCCTGTGGCCCGGCTGGCATCATGGGCAAGTCCCAGTCTGCCTAGAGGGATGGGGTCAGATGCGTGGATGCAGCTTTGGGATGCAACAGCTGTGAGGAAGTAAGGTGTGCATCTTAAAATTGCTTCTACTCCCTGACCATCTTCCTTACTCAGCTACAAAGCTGGATTGTTCCCCTTGGAATCTAGAATATAAGGGTCTCTGCTCTTAAAGATTCCCAGCAAAAGAGGTATCTTGGTTTCCCATCTCCCCAGATTCTGGCACATCACCTCCATGCATCTTTCTTGCATGAAACCTTGGTTTGTTCCTCTTGGTGACTGAGGCTTACTCAGGAGAAAACACACACACACACACACACACACACACACACACACACACACACACACACACACAGGCCATTAGGAAAGGATACCAGCTCTGTGTAGTCTCCACAGCTCCAGGCCTGCTGGGGCTCCCTGTAAACAGCACCAGCGCCCACACTCAGCTAACAGATTGCTCTCCTCTGTATCTCTCGAGACACAGGACCATAGCCTCCCTTTTGGAAATTCCTAAGCCCCTGGCTCAAGGGCACATTCCATGTGGTCAGTCAAGGAGGCAGGCTAGCCAAATGGTTAAGAACAGGGTCTCCCAAGTCAAGTGACCCGGGTTTAAATCCCAACCCTGTCCTCTTTAGGAAAATTATCTCCTCCATGCCTGAGTTTCCTCATCTATAAGATGGAGATAAGCCTAGTGCTTGCCTCATAGAACTGTTAGGAGGATTAAATGAGACATTACATCTAAAACATTTAGAAGAGTACCTGACAGTGCTATATAAGCCTTAGCTAGTATTCTGAACCTTTGAAGGAAGGAAATGGGAAAGAAAAGACACTTGGGATCATGGAGATCATGGTCTCAAGGACGGATCCTGCTGGAATTCTCAGATACGCTTTTGCTCCTAAATTCCAGGGGAGTAGAAGCTCTGACTTGTTTACCATTATATCCCCAATATCTAGCCTGTGCAGACAGTGCAGCCACAGCAAACAGGTGGTGAAAGAATTCACCGTGTCAGCCATCTCTCAAATGAGCCTGGGAATTGAAAGAGCAGAAGAATCTTCAGGAAAGCAATGGTAGATCCAGTTCTTTTCACTCATGTCTAGTTCCACAAAGAGTTGTGGGGGGGGGGGGGGCAGAGAGCAAGGATTTGTTAGAAGAAACAGTCCTAGCAACCAGGGATGGGGGGGTGCCCCAGGATTGTATGACTGTTACATCACCCTGGGGTAGACTCTCCCAGCTGCAGCTAGCTGGGAATTTCTGGGGTCTTGGGGACCAGCCCAGAAACATGCCTTTCCCTGAATTCATCCAGTTCATTCCTATCTCTTCTTCAGGTCTAGACAGTGGGTTAAAGAGAGCAAGAGCTGTTTCTGGGTCCCTATTGTTTCCCAACGCCCAACACCACAGTCAGGGTTCAGTCCAGCTCTGCAGAATTAGTAAGTTCCCACAAAGACTTCCCCCCACTTCTCTGCCTGGTGACTATTCATCATTCAGAACCAACTCAAATGTCCTCTTCTCTCTGAAGCCTTCCCAGCCACCCCAACGTGACACTTCGTCTCTGTTGTTCTATGACTCAGGCAAGATCACTGTGGATGAATAACATCACTGCGCGCTCAGCATCCCATCCAATCCCACACACAGTAGGTGCTCAGTCAATGTTTGCACATGAATACATTAAGGCTCCCTCAGTAACAGCAACCAATTTCTTCAGTTATTCCTCTTGTTGACACATTAAAAGACACAGAAGAGGGTAAGGCCGTCACTTGAGTACCCATCAGACACCAGAGGGACCGCCACTGAGAGGTCCCTCTTTCCAGTCCTGTCCTCTGGCCTCCTCCCTCGGCCCTGGCTGGCAGGATGACCCCAAGGCTCCCTGCCCACTCAGCTTCTGCCCTCCTTCCGCCTCCCACCCCATCTCTGAGGTATGAAGAACGACAACAGACAGCCCAGTGAGGTCACTGGGCTTCCAGATCAGCTTGGAGGGTGGCTGTGCAGACACAGAGAAAGCTCAGGGCTTTGGGGGCTTCTCCGCCCTTCAGCCACGTGCAACTCAGAAAGAAACTGACCCGAGCTTTGAGAGACAACCGGGAGGTGATGAGGACACCATGACCTCCTTAACCCCCCCACCTCAGACCCCCCCGCCCAGGTGTCCAGCCTCAGCTTGGAGGCCCCAGCGAAGAGGGCAGACGCTGACAGCCATCTGTCTTGGCTTCTCCAGCCCTCGAGCCTACCTCCTCGGCAGGTGAGCCCCCCGGAGCACCGACTGTGGCTGCACACACTCTCTCCCGCTGCCTCTCGCTTCTGTCTTTGGGGAGATGGGGAGGGGGTCGCCACCTCCAGCCACGGCGAGGGGCGTGCACCCCTCCCCCAGGCGCCCAAACAGAACCAGTTTCCACCGCCGCAGGCGCAGCGTGTTTACAAAGTCGCCGCCGCGCCGCCAATCCCGAGTTTAAAGCTGGGCAGGAAGTGGGGAAGAGGGGGCGGGGGAGACAAAGGGGCTGGGTGCTCCGCTCACCTAAGGTTTGGGCCCCGACTCCTCCCGGCGGCTCAGCCTGCGCAGCGACCCCAGCCAGCAGCACATCCCGCTGCACGTTCCCCCGGTGAGGGGCGAGGGTGCCCCCCAGCCGCAGGTGCGCCCCGCGGGCAGGCGCGGCGCAGTTTTCCAGACATCTGCCTGTGAGTGTTTTCCACTTATCCACTCGCTCAGGAAATAACATTAGGCGCTGCTTCTTGACCTGTTACTCTACGTCTGCACAGTGATAGACCCTTTGAGTGTATTAGCTCATTTGCCCCCCTGCTATCCATCCCATCCCAGTTTCGCAAAAGACGAAACCGAGGCACAGTGAGATTAGGTAATGTGCCCGAAATCCCACAGCTGCCGAGTGCTGGGATTCGAACCCAGCTTCTGCGTCCTGCCAGACACCCGCAAACGGAGACGAATGAGGCGTGGTGCACGAAGGACTCCCATCCGGAGAGGCTGACCCGCGAGTGAACCGCAGAAAACCACATGCACCACGTTGACGCAACGGCCTGGGAGTAAGGCGGGCAAGGGACAGCCTCTTGCCGCCGGCGCCTCCCGGCTCGCCCGGCAAATACCTACGGATTAATACACGGCGAGAAGGCAGCGGGATGCGTTGGAACCCCTGGACTGGGTGGCTGTTGGGATCTAGTTCCAAGTGGGCTGCGGGGCCGCCAGCACAAAACAAGGTTTCCCCAAATTTCCCGCTCAGGAGAATCACCTGGAGGTTTTAAGAATACAGAATCCCAGACCCCTCCCCTAGAGAGTAAATGATGGGGACCCAGCGGGACCCCGGCAGAGGTTGCTATCAAGCACCTTTGGAGTGTTCCAGGGATGTGCTTTTTACGAAAAGCGACTTCATTTCAAAATAGGTGTAAAACCGAGAGCTCATTTTCCTGGCCACTTCCGGGGCTTACTGAACGCACCGCTCGCAGAAGGCCAAGTGAGCGGGGTCAACCAACACACCCTCCCGACCCCGCTGGGCCTAGGAAAGCCCAGAGGGGCGCGTGTCGCCCCGCCCCCTAGCCGCTCCTCCCCGCCCGGTGACTACAAGCCCCATCCTGCCCTGCGCTCATGCACATTACGCCAGAGCAAGATGGCCGACGCGGCGGCCACTGCCGGGGCTGGCAGCTCCGGAACGGTAAGGGCGGGAGGCGGGAGGCCGAAGCCGAGAGAGTCGGGGCATTCTGTAACTTTCCCCTAGCCTGGGCTACAATCTTATACCCAGAAATCCAGCCCCACCATGAGCTCTGAGTGGAGGAGGGTCTTTCAGGTCGTACGTGACCCCCTTCTTGAGACTCCGCGGTTGCCTCCTGAGTTGGTGGACTTGTATACTGATTGGCCCGTTCTCTGTTGGGGGTTGGGAGCCCGGAACACCTCCTGATTGGTGCAACGAGGCCGCTTTCGCCTTCTTATTGGCTCGCCAAAGTTGGGCGGGATTCCCGTTTCAAAATACTTCCTACTTGTAGGTCCTCTACTTAGCATCATGTGTTGTTTGTTGTTTTAATTTTCCTCGTTAGCAAAATGGTGTGGAGGTGGAAGGAACAAGAGAGAGGTCACTTTTTTTCTGGGAGATGGATATGAGTTCAATCCCATCGTGCGTGTTTCTTCAGCTATATATTCTGATAATCTGCTAAAATAGAAAGTAGAAAACAGCCGTTTTGTTATTGGAATTGTAAGTATTAGGTAGGCAGAAAGGCTGTCTCCGAATTTAGAGCCCCCGGGGTGCTCAGTTATTACTCATTTGGCCAAGAGCTGTAAGTCTAAACATCAGGGACTACCACATCTTATTAAGCACTAGTAAATAAGTATTTAGCAAAAGAACCTTTGCTTGCCGTTGGCAGTATGTGAACTCTGTGATTGCATCCTTGTCCTCTGGATGAAAACGTTTTCTCTTTCTGGGCTGCTGATTCACAGAGATCAGGAAGTAAACAGTCCACTAACCCTGCTGATAACTACCATCTGGCCCGAAGGCGAACCCTGCAAGTGGTTGTGAGCTCCCTGCTGACAGAGGCAGGGTTTGAGAGTGCTGAGAAAGCATCTGTGGAAACATTGACAGAGATGCTGCAGAGCTGTAAGTACCAGGAAACAATAGGCCTTCCTCGAGTCAACCAGACATCTGTTCTGTGTCCTGCATTGTGATAGTGTTAGAGAGGATTTAAGAAAAAGAAGAACATTGTTAAGTGACTTACAGGCTTTAGAATCAGATAGACCTGGGTGTAGGTCATCACTCTGCCACCTAATAGCTTGGGTTAACCACTCAACCTCCTGAACCTCAATTGCCTCCTTTGTGAAAAGGAATAATAATTTGTACCTCCTGGAGTTTTGAGTATAAGTGAGATGTATATGTAAAGCAGTCAAAGCTGGGAACGTTGTAAGCTCTCGATGACTTGTAGGTGCTGTTATTATTGCTGTTTGTTCTCTATGCTCAAAGAACTTACAGTTTCATTGGAGAGTCAGGATTAATTCCCGTGAAATAGATGCTGCACATTATATAATCAAATGCTATATTATGTGATACAAAGAGTGAGGGTGAATAAGTTTTAGAAAATGGAAAAAAGAAAAAAACCCTCTTTTAAAAGGAAGTATCTTGAGGTTTAGGAGCCTGGAACGGTCTCACATAGGCTTGTGCATGTACACTGTATTTCCCTCTTTGGGCCTTTGGAGGGGAGGGGAGGATGGAATGAGGGTTGTGGGTATTTAAGGTGTTTGAGGGCAGAATCAACCCTATGAATGGAAGTGAGAGAAAGGTTTAGGCAGAGAGAGAAGTTGAGCTGCAGTACAGGCCAAACAAAGAATTGGCCAACTCAGTGGGGTGCTCTGGAGCAATTATTGCCCGTCAGAGTATCTGACATCAGTCCCGCAGAGCCCTGCCTTTGTAGTCTGGTCTTGATCAGTCACTAGATGTGGGCTGCCCCAGGGAGGTTGTGGTCTGGGTTGAAGTGGCTCTCTTCAGCTGATGTTTGGAACTTCAAGATACCAGATGTTTTCCTAAGGCAGCCACATCTCAAACCCCATTAGACTCTTAAATATTGAGGACCCCAGGGAATTTTGTATACATGGGCTCTATATATAGAGATTTTTGTCACATTAGAAAATAAAACTGAGAACATTTTAAAACATAAGAATGCACAAGCACACATTCCATTATCCAGCAGAGCCATGATGTCATCATAGGGGACATAGCCTCCGGAAAACTGCATGAGAGAATGAGACTAAAAAAGTCAAAGGGTGTCTCATTTTATTATGAAAATGGTTTTGACCTGTGGACCCATCCCAGAAAAAGGCTCTTTTGTATGTAAAATTCACAATTTCAGAATTTTCCTGGAGCTGCCCATCTACCTCTGAAACCCACTCATGGAGCCCAGCTTCGTGCTTCCCCTTTCCCCTGAAGGAGTTTAGCATGGCTGAAAAGAGGTTCAGCTTCAGGTAGAAGAAACAAAAACTTGACAACCAGATAATAAGACCTTTTTTTTTTTGTGGTGGCACAATGTACATATCATAAAATTACCATTTTAATTATTTTTCAGTGTACAATTCAGTAGTGTTAAATATACTCACAATGTTGTACAACCATCAGCATTATCCATTTCCAGAACTTTTTCATCCTTCTAAACAGAAACTGTATCCATAAACAGTAACTCCCCATTCCTCGTTCCTCCCAACTCCTGGTAACCCCTAATCAATTTTTTTGTCTCTATGAATTTTTTTTAAAATAAATTTTATTTATTTAGCTGCGTTGGGTCTTTGTTTCTGTGCGAGGGCTTTCTCTAGTTGCAGCGAGCGGGGGCCACTCTTCATCGCGGTGCTCGGGGCTCTCACTGTCGTGGCCTCTCCTGTTGCGGAGCACAGGCTCCAGATGCGCAGGCTCAGTAGTTGTGGCTCACGGGCCCAGTTGCTCCGCGGCATGTGGGATCTTCCCAGACCGGGGCTTGAACCCATGTCCCCTGCATTGGCAGGCAGATTCTCAACCACTGCACCACCAGGGAAGCCCTGAGTTTTTTTTCTAGATACCTCATATAAGTGGAATCTTAAAATATTTGACTGTCTGGCTTATTTCATTAGCATGATGTTTTCAACGTTTATTCATGTTGTAGCTTGTATCAGAATGTCATTCCTTTTGAAGGCTGAATAATATTCCATTATATGGATAGACCACATTTTATGTATCCATTCATCTGTGGATGGACACTGGGTTATTTCTACCTTTTGTCTACTGTGAATAGTGCTGCTATGAACATGGATGCACAAGTAGTGCTGCTATGAACATCATACACTCTGTTTGAGCCCCTGTTTTCCCTTCACTTGGGTGGCTATCTAGGAGTGGAATTGCTGGCTCATATGGCAATTCTGTGTTTAACTGTTTGGGAACTGAGGGTAAGACTTTCTGCCTTTGATCCTTTCCTAGACATTTCAGAAATTGGGAGGAGTGCCAAGTCTTACTGTGAGCACACAGCCAGGACGCAGCCCACACTGTCAGATATTGTGGTCACACTTGTCGAGATGGGTGAGTACACCTCCAGTTTCCATTTCTTCAGTGCAGCTGAGTTGGAGGCATGAGAGAGAGAGAGAGAGGAGTCCCCAGGAGGCAGCCCCCTCTGCTGAGCATTCTTAAATCCCCTCTTGAGTCTCCTGGTTTGCTTTTAGCTTGAGAGAGTTATCAAAAGAGAGTTCCTCTGAACCCCTTTAAGAGGCCTCCTAACGCCCTCTTCGGGGATTCTGCTGGAGCTTCTTTTGAGTGGCAGCAAAGCTTTTGAGTTGCGAGTTTAAACTACTTCACCACAGTATTACTTCCCCTTCCATGTTCAGTATCCAGTGGTCTGGGCAGTGATTTTTGTTCTCCTGTTTCTTAGGTTTCAATGTGGACACCCTCCCTGCTTACGCAAAACGGTCTCAGAGGATGGTCATCACTGCCCGTAAGTGACTCTGAACTGAGGTACTCAGGAGTGCTCAGTTAATGCTGGTGGAATGAATTGGTTGACTAGGGCGGGGATTGGTGTGCAGCTACTGCCTCGTTGCAGGCCCCTTCCGTTACTTGGGGCTGCCTCTACCATGGAATCGCTATTTGGGCTAGCCAGATTAGGATGTGAAGTTCAGTCACCAGAAAGGTAAACCATCTCGATGCTCCTTGAAAAATGTGAGAGTGCTCGTTCTTGCTTAGATCGAGGGTCAGTAAACTATGGCCTATAGGCCTAACGTGGTCCACCTCCTGTTTTGTAAATAAACTTTTGTTGGTGCACAGCCATGTTTACTTATTATCTATGGTTGTTTTCATGCAGTAATGGCAGAGTTAAGTAGTTGTGACAGGCTGCACAGCTTGCAAAACCTACAATATTTACTTCCTGTCCCTTTATACAAAAAGTCTGATGATCTCTGCCTTAGATACACTGAGTGCCATAAACTGAGTTGATTGGAGTAACTAGTTTGGGTTTGCAGGACCTCGAGAGAATTCACTAGATTTTTTTTTCCATCACTCCTTTCAGGCTGGCATCTTTTCTTTTCTGGCTGTGTTGGGTCTTTGTTACTGTGCACAGGCTTTCTTTAGTTGCGGCAAGCGTGGGCTACTCTTCGTTGTGGTGCACGGGCTTCTCATTGTGGTGGCTTCTCTTGCTGCGGAGCACGGGTTCTACGCGTGCGCGGGCTTCAATAGTTGCAGCACGACACAGGCTCAGTCGTTGTGGCTCTCGGGCTCTAGAGCGCAGGCTCAGTAGTTGTGGTGCCCGGGCTTAGTTGCTCCGCGGCATGTGGGATCTTCCCGGACCAGGGATAGAACCTGCGTCCCCTGCATTGGCAGGTGGATTCTTAACCACCGCACCACCAGGGAAGTCCAGCTGACATCGTTTTAAGATGCTCCTCTCAAAGTGGCAGTGAAAGGTGCCATTTTCAACCCCTCTTGCTTTCATTGGCCCTCGCTTAACTTACCCTGGCTCCGTGTCTGTCTTTGTTACCTGGGTTCTTGAAAGGAGTTAGCAGCCCACCTAACTTCCTTAGGTCCTCAACCTGCTCTTTATGTAGTTAGCTTGTCTCAGCCCCGCACTCACCGCCCTAAGAGGCGTGCAGTCGGGATTGTTGTAGATGGGATGTCACCCCTGGTCATGCCGTGCCGGGCGTTGTTGGGGGGCGGAGGCACCTTTTCAGGTCCTCAGGCCATTAAAGGCCTTTTATTGGTAGAATTACAAAGTGCCTGTTGCATAGAACATTGAGGTCCAGGATTTACTTTGAGAAAAGGAGGGTGTGGGTAGAGACGCGAGGCCTTGGGTGGAAGAGTAACCGCCGGTGACTCTGTTGCAGCTCCAGTGACCAATCAGCCGGTGACCCCCAAGGCCCTCACTGCAGGACAGAACCGACCCCACCCGCCACACATCCCCAGCCATTTTCCCGAGTTCCCCGACCCCCACACCTACATCAAAACTCCGGTGAGTGACAAGGCCATCCTGGGGGCTGTGACTGACGCAAAAGCAGACTCCATTTTCCTGGCTGTCAGACTGGAGTCCAGAAGTTTGTTGGTCACAGGGTAGTTCAGAACTCAGAATGTCTTTCCTCACTGGAAAACAATTCGGCAAAGGAGAATTATCTTCTCCAGTTTGCTGGCAAAAATATGCTTAATAAATAAACTGAAAGTGGCACCGTTTCGCCTGTCCCACCCAAACACAGAAGTACCTGGCCACGTAGAGCAAAGACACATTCCACAGAATGCTGGTAGTAATTCTGGGTGGGATTATAGGTAACTGTTGTTTTGTGTGTGCTTTTCTGGGTTTCCCAAATTTTCCATAATAGGTAAGAGTTATTTTTGAAATCAGGGAAAGAGTTACTTAAAACATACTTGGGGGAATTCCCTGGCAGTCCAGTGGTTAGGACTCCGTGCTTTCACTGCTGAGGGCCTGGGTTCAATCCCTGGTCTGGGAACTAAGATCCCACAAGCTGCATGGTGTGGCCCCCCCAAAAAAAACAAAAAATAAAACTTGGTAATATGAAATGGAACTTATCGTAACTGTGAGCTCTGGGTCTGTATGGGACAAGTCTAGTTGTCCTCCTTAGTTCAGATGTCCTCCGAACATGTCCTCCGTGTTCCAATTTGCCTTCTAGCAATTTCACCTTCCTTTGGGAAGGTACAGTGTGCATAGGAGTCCCCAGAGGCTCTTCTACTCGCTTTCCTGTGTCCCCGCCTCCACACTGCGTCTTGGTGCAAATATGGCCACGATGCAGGGTTGGGGCAAGTCCTCCAGGAGATTTTTCCACACCTCAGGATACAGGGGGAAAGGAGCAGGTGGTCAGCCACCATTGCAACGCAGCCATTGCTCTTGACCAGGATTTTCTATATTAGTGTCCTAGGGCTGCTGTAAAGTGCCACAAACTCGGTGCCTTAGAACAACAGAAATGTATTATCTTGTAGTCCCAGAGGCTAGAAGTCCAAAATCAAGGTGTCGGCAGGCTCCCTGTGAAACCTTTGCCCAGTCTCAGGTGGTTTCTAGGCAGTTCGTGGCGCCCCTTGGCTTGTAGATGCATCACTCCGGTCTTCCTCTTCACACGGCCCTCTGTCTGTATCTCCGTCTTCACGTGGCCATTTCTTATAAGGACACCAGTCATACCGGATTCTTACCACCCTACTCACATGACCTCACGTTAACTGATTACATCTTGCAGTGACCCTATTTCCAAATGAGATCATATTCTGGGGTCCTGGGGGTTAGGCCTTCCGCACGTCTTTTTTTTTAGGGGGCTATAATTCAACCCACAGCAGTCTCTAACTCTTTTGTAGCATATGTCTGTCAGTACAGTGTTAAGCACACGCTTCAGTATTTGTTTGCTCATTTACGTGACTGTTATAACGTAACACAGTACGAAAACAACGTACGTTGAAAGATCATCTGACCCTAATTAAGGGTTCAGGAAACTGGTGCTCCTTTTTAGTGGCAGCCATGTTTTAGCCTCAGCTTTTGTATTTTTTGAAATCTTGGTTTAATACCTGGTGGAATACGAAGTAGGAGGTCTGGTTCTAAGTTCAGTTTATTTTGATACTTTAACAGCTCTCACAGTTGAAAAAGGTACAGTACAAAGATAGGTGGGATCTTAGGCTGCCCTTAATAAATCATAAAACTAATTTTTTTCATTCTCATCTACCAATTATTTGAAGACTTATGTTAAAATTTTCCTATTAAATTTCCAACTTTTTAAATGTCAAACGGTTATCTTAAAAATAATTGTAAGATCTTGCATTTTAATGTTTTTAACCAGCGTGTTCAGAATCCTGTTAAATTCTTCATCTTGGGAAGACTTTAAACATGTCAGAAAGTTCTGTTGTCATGTTACACTGAGGGCCCCTGGGTGGTCCCCGGCAGGGCTCCCCTGGCAGGGCTTCCCCGGCAGGTGTGTGGGGCTGAGAATTGCCACTCTCCCTTCAGGATGTGTCTCTTATGCCTGAGTCCAGCTGTTGCTGGAGCTAAATGAAGGCCCGGGATCACGTAAATGTAAATGTTTGTATATTTCTTAACTTTTAAGATTCAAAGTAAATGTTAATCATAGTTATATTGTTTCTTTCTGCCCTTCCTCTGCCCTTGGGGATCTCTGCTCTCAGTGACGGTAGGGGTCATTTAAAGGGTGGGAGGACAGAGCAACAGCAAGGCAGGAACCCGAGGAGGGCAGTGTAGTCATTGGTATTTCTCTAGTGTCTTTGCTGTTCTCCCTTTAGACGTACCGTGAGCCTGTGTCGGACTATCAGGTCCTGCGGGAGAAGGCCGCATCCCAGAGAAGAGACGTGGAGCGGGCACTCACCCGTTTTATGGCCAAGACCGGCGAGACCCAGAGTCTTTTCAAAGATGACGTCAGCACGTTTCCCTGTGAGTGTCTCCCCTCTGTGGACCCTGGCTTGTCCTTTGAGATCATCGCCCCATCTTCCCTCTCTCTCTGTGTCATTGGAAAAAACGAATAAGCTTTGTCCTTGTCTTGTGGAACTTGTTCTTCATTTCTGGCTCCTTTTTCTAGGTCTTAAGGGTCTGTCCCTAACTGATGACTCCAAAACAGTAATGGCCTCTGTTGGGATTGGGCACTTGAAGTGCATTGAGTTGAGGTTACCTTGAGGGTGACTGAGCCCCAGGCATCAGAGAGGCTCATTAGCAGAAGGGACAGCCCTGGTGGTAGAAGGACCCTGGTGGCAGGGGGCAGGGCAGTTAAAGAACCTCTGCCAGGCTTTGCCTTCACTGTGTCCTCTCACAGGACTCACCATATAATTTCTCATCTCAGCACTATCGTTTCACTGTGTGACCAAGTGTCTTCCTCTCCACAGGCCTCAGTGTTTCCAAAGGGGAGTGAGGGAGATTGGTTTAGATGATTCATTCAGTCAGCAAGCTCCTGTTGGATTCTCGCTGTGTGCCTTGCCCCAGAACCGCAGCGGCTAAATTATTAAGTCCAGACACTGTGCTGCTCACTTTCCCTACGTTATCTCATGAACTCCTCGAGTGAGCCTCTGAGTTAGGAACTGTTACTTCCACCATTCCAGGAGCCAAGGCTTAGAGAGAAGAGAAATGAAATAATTTGCCCAAGGTCACACGGAGAGTAGATAGCATTCAAACCTAGCTCTTTCTGTCTGCAGGACTCCATATCTGAGCCATGTTAAAAATAATCTTAGAGTGTCTCCTGATAATGACATTCTACCATGGAAGTATGCACAGAGACTTTCTTTTTATTATTTATTTACTTACTTACTTATTTATTTACTTATTTACTTACTTATTTACTTATTTGTTTATTTATTTAATAATTTCTCCTACTCAGCCTCGGTGCTTTTTGGAGGAATTGGGCCACTCATGTACCTGAAGTGCCCTCTAGCTCAGCGGATATACTTCCAGGCAGAGAGTTCTCAAGTCCGCTATCGGGACTTGAGTCCTTCAGGTTGAAGGGATCCATATCCCTGCTCTAGTAATGAGGCTGGGGGGGTTAACTGACCTTGGGTATAAGATCACTAAGCTGATGCTTTGCTAGGATTCAGCCCTAGTTCTCTCTGATTTTAGTGGTACTTGGTAAAAGTAGGCTGTGCAGTCATATTGCCCGAGTTCAAATCCCACTCCACCACTTCCGGTGTGCTTGAGGAGGTCACGTAACCTCTCCGGGCCTCAGGTTCGCCATCTGTAAAATGGGGTTGTTAATTGTACTTACTTAATAGGGTGGAGGCGAGAATTAAAGATAACCCGTAAAGCCTGTAGGACACTGCCTGGCCTGTGCTAAGCGCTCGAGCGTGTTGGCCATCACTGTCATTCACTGCTGCTCGCTGACCCGTCATAAGGCTCTTGGCCTCTCTTCCAATCCCCCAGTGATCGCTGCCAGGCCTTTCACCATCCCCTACCTGACCGCTCTTCTTCCGTCTGAGCTGGAGATGCAACAAATGGAGGAGACGGATTCCTCGGAGCAGGATGAGCAGACAGACACAGAGAACCTCCCTCTTCACATCAACACGGTGGGTCCTGCCTTCTGCCCGCTTCAGCATGCCCCCCGCAGTAGCCCGTGCTGCTCTCTGCCTATCACCCTGCGGATTGGACAGGACCTACCTCAGGTCTCTGGCCCCATGTTAGGGACTTGCATGATGGGCCTGTGGTGATCCAATTGCGGCACGATCTCTAGCTCGAGGGATAAGTCTGTGTCCTGGGGATCCATTCATTCATTCAACAAATATTGAACGAGCACCTGCCAGAGTCAGGCAGGTGCCAGGTGCTAGGGAATTAGCAGGAGGCAAGATAGACAAAATGTCCTGCCCTCACGGAGCTAAGGAAAAGTGAGAAATTAGGAGATGGGAGTAGGTACGGGCCTGGGGGATGTGGTATTAGATTGGGTGACTGAGAAGATGACAGGTGAGTAAAGACCTGAAGGGAACAGGCTCGCACGTATCTGGGAGTAGAGCGTTCCCCACAGAGGGAACAGCAGATGCGAAGGCCCTGAGGTGGGTGCTGTTATGCTGAGGAATGGCAAGGCCATCAGGGTGGCCAGTGTGGCATGAGCAAAAGCGGGGAGGAGAGCAGGGGACGAGGTCAGAGAGCTCCTGGGGAAGTCAGGTCTTAACGGTACCTAAGCACTTGGGCTTTTTGTTAGTACGATGGGAGCCCCTGGACATACTGAGCAGAGGAGGGTCTCGGGATCGGTGAGGTTGCTGGGTCGAGGGTGGACAACAGAGGGTGAGGGCAGAAGCAGACCGGTCGGGAGGCTGGTGCAAGAAGCTGAGAGATGGTGGTAGAGGTGAAGACACAGGTGGATTATTTGGTCAGATTCTAGATTATTTTCGGAGCAGAAGCGACTGAAGGAGTGGTTGTGAGAGAAAGAGAGTCAAAGATAAATGCAAGGGTTTTTTTCCTGAACAACAGGCAAGATGGAAGTACCCTCAGCCAAGACAGGCGAGACGGTTGGGTGGAACAGGTATAGCGGGGAGGCCAGGAGTAGAGGTTTACACGAGGTAAGTTTGAGATGCTTATTAGACATACGGGTGGTGGGGTCAGGTAGGAAGGTGGATAGGCGCATTGGAGTTCAAGGAGCTTTTGGGCTCAGGAGATGCAAACCTGGGAGTCCTCGGCGCGTAGATGTGTTTAAACCACGAGACCAGGTGAGTGCCTAGGGGCGAGTGAGGGTAAAATAGAGAAGAGGCGCCAGGACTGAGCCCTGGGGCTCTGCGCTGTTCAGAGGGTGAGGGGATGAGGAACCAGCCAAGAAGATGGAGAAGGCACAGCGGGAAAGGTGGTGGAACCAGGGAGGGGGTGGGGGTGGGGGCGGGGGGCTGCGGCGTCCCGGAGGCCAAGGGAAGAAGGTGTTTCAGGGAGAAGAGGGTGATCGGCTGTGTCTGGAGCTGCAGTTAGTTCCAGTCATGTGAGGACTGAGATGTTGCCCATTAGATTTGGCAACGGGCATGCAGTTTGTGACCTTGACAATGGCCATTTCAGGAAGAATGAGAGCAAGTGAATTCAAAGAGAAAGAGAAGAGAGGAACCGGAGTCGGTGAGTGTGGACTTGTGTTGTCCATTACAGTGGCCAGTAGCCACATGTGGCTATCTAAGTCTAAATTGATGTAAATTAAATTAAAAAAATTCAGTTCCTTGGTCACACCAGCCACATCTCAATGGCCACCTGTGGCTCGTGGCTACCCTACTGGGCAGCGCAGATATGAACAGTTAAATCATCACAGAAAGTTCCATTAATGTAGACCATGGTTTCAAGGAATTTTGCTGTGAAGGGAAGGAGAGAAAATGGAGCGGTAACTAAAGGGGAAGAATTAAGGAGGTCAGAGAGGTGTTTTGTTTTTTATTTTTATTTTTAAATTTTATGTATTGATTTTTTTAGCCGCACCTTGCAGCTTGGGGGATCTTAGTTCCCCAACCAGGCATCAAACGTGGACCCCCCACGATGGAAACGTGGAGTCCTCACCACCGGACTGCCAGGGATGTCCCTTATTTGTTTTTTAAGATAAAAGAAATAACAGGATGTTTGTATGCTGATGAAAATGATCTGGTAAAGTTGATGCAGGAGAGAAAGAAAGATTTTGGAATGATGATCTTTGGCAAGGGAGAGGGCATGGGATTTAGTGCCCAAAAGGAGGGGTTAGCCTTATTGTGGACATTTCAGAGCCAGGATAGGAGATAAAATGTGTGGGCACAGAGACAAAGGTCGGCGGGGAGGTGTGCTCGTTGAAACTGGTGGGTGTTCTTTTCTGGTTACGCTGTATTATACTCGGCAAGTAAGAGGATAAGACCCACTCTTGTTCATGCATCAGGGGAGAAAGTGCCAAGTAGAGTCACAGACCTGCTGAAGCTCTAATGCCTTTAAAGCTTACAGGACCCTAAGAGTCAGGTTACCACATTCATCCATCCTTTAAGGTTGGCCCTGGCTTTTAAGCAAGGGATGGCTCAGTGGCTGTAGCTGGACTGAGGGTTCCTCGTGTTCTCTGAGGTGTGAGGCCCCAGGATGCAGGGGGAGAGTGCCAGTGCTGACTCTAGTATTTGCTGAAGGTCTCCCTTGCCTGAATACACATTTCTTTAATGTTGAATTATTCCTTTCAGAATTAGGGCTGGGAGCCCATGGCTCTACGTAGAGCAGAGGAGCTTTGTCATTCTACACTTCTGTTTTGGACTCAGTTAATTTGGTCTGAGATATGGTGATTGTGGCACGGACTAAGATGAGGTTCACCTTATGAGAAGGCGGAGTCTTCTAAACAAACATCACCGTCCCTTTATAAGTACAAAGCAGCTAAAGGGCTTGCAGATGTGTTATCTAAAACTCCGGGTAATGTAATGACATAGGTGAGGTCATGGCGGTGAGTGAACCGAGGCTGAAAGGATGTCAGGAACTGCCTGAGGCCAAGCCAGACAGGAAGAGTAGAAAGGTCTGAGCCTCGGAGTCAGACTGGCCTGGCCTCAGATCCAGACCAGGGTACTTTCCAGCTCATGACCCAGCATCTGAGTCTGTTTCCTCACAAATGCAAATAGGAGTAGGAACACCTACCTCAAGGGGAAGTGAGGAGCCTGAGGTAAAATGAGCTCATCCATATCAGGTGCCTGGCACATGGCAGCTCATGGCACCCACTGCCCCCCTCCCCCTGCCCCTGCTGTATGACCATATGCTTTTCTGTACAAAATAAATAAAAAGACTGCAAGAAAAGGATTCCAGCAACAATTTATGACAGTCAGTTGGGCTTGTTATTTCGTTGGCCTGGCAAATACAATCATATCTTTAAGACTCAGAATGTACGAAAAGATGTGTGGTGACAGTCTTTCGCCTGTCCTTGTTCCCTGTCATCCATTTTCCCTCCTACAAAGCAACCAGTGTCACCAGTCTCTTGTGAATCCTTCTAGAGATGTTTTTTAATTGTTATTTTAAGCACAAACAGTTCTTTCCCCTTGCTTGCTCTCTTTGTGGCGATATCTCGGTGGTCGTTGTACGCTGTATGTGAGGAGCTGCTTCATCCCTCCGCATAGCTTCCTCCTGTTCCATTGTGTGGACTTAGTGAGCCAGTCCCTTGTGGATGTTTACATTGTTTTCTGTCTTTAGCATTTACAGACATTGTTACGGTAAGTTCAATAACTGGTGTTTTAAATTGTTCTTTTATCTATCAAGGTCACAACTGTCAACGACTGTTGCTAGGTAGTTACTTTGTTTAACTTGGTTCTGGTTACTCCATCTAGGAACATGAAGGGGCTATTCATTTTATTTATTTATTTATTGGCCACACTGCGCAGCACGTGGGATCTTAGTTCCCTGACCAAGGATCAGACCTGCGCCCCCGGCAGTGGAAGCGTGGAGTCTTAACCACTGGACCACCAGGGAAGTCCCAGGGCTATTCATTTTAAATTGGTGTATCAGAGGATTCTTTTCTCATACATTTCAACGAGCTGCCTTCTGCAGGCAATCCCAGTGTCTCAACTTTTACTCTTTTCTGAACAATGTACCATTCATGTACTCAGCAAGTATTTGTTTAGTGCCTGGTAAGTGCCAGATACTGTTCTGAGTGCTTGGGACACATCAGTGACCAGAACAAAGACAACAGCTGCATCTCGGGAGCCCGTGTGTTGGCAGTGGGGGAATGACCATAGACGTAGTACGTAAATGCATCACTATATAGTATGTAAAAGATGAAAGTGCTACGGGGGGAAACTGAGTAGGGGAGGATCCAGGGTAAAGGGTGGAGGTTTCAGTTTTAAATAGGGTGCTCAGGATACACATCACAGAGAAGGTGACGTCTGAGCAGAGTCTTGAAGGAGGTGAGGGAGTGAGCCATGTGGATCTCTGGGGAAGAGTGTCCTGGAAAGGGAACAGCCAGTGCAAAGGCCCTGGGGAATAGCACAAAGGAGAGTGGAGGTGTGACTGAGGAAGGTGGGGACAGGGACGGGAGGGAGCGATCAGATCAGGCGGAGCCTTGTGAGCAGTTTTAAGAGCTGTCTTTTCATTGGATGAAGTGGGAGTCCTGGGAGGGTGTGGAGCAGAGGAGAGGCAGGTCTGAACTTCTCCAAGGAGCACTGGCTGCGCTGGTGAGAATGGGGCAGGCAGAGGAGGGACTGTGACGGGAGGCCAGTTAGGAGGCTGTTGTCCATCCGGGTAAGAGACACTGGTAGGTCCTACCAGGGGGGTCGCGGTAGATATAGTGGAAGTGGTCAGATTCTGCCTGTATTTGGAAGATAAGGCCAAGAAGTTTTCCCAACAGATTGGCTGTGGGATGCCAGAGAAAGAAAGCAAGCAGGAGTGACTGCAGAATTTGGGGCTTGGACAGCTGGGAGGACAGGACGGGAAGACAGTGGGAGAAGCTGTTTGTGCTCGTGGTTTAGTTTTAGGCACGTTGAATTTGAGATGCCTGCTTGCCCGCCACGTGGAGATGGCAGGTGGTTGAGCGACAGTGGCCGTGCAGGCCTGGAGGTCAAGGGAGATGTGAGGGCTGGGGAGGTTCAAGTGGGGGATGCTGCTGTGGAAGTGGTAGAAGCTGTGAGGCTGGATGCAGTCACCCAGGGCGCATGGGGTGCATGAGGGGGGTGCATGAGGAACGTGCCCTGAGTCTGGCCTTTCCCGGCCCAGGTCGCTCCTGACAGACCTTTCTATTCCCACCTTTTTTTACAAATCTCAGTCGTTTTAGTACTTTACTTTTTTTGTCTACTCCTCCTGTCCCTCCCCATCTCAAGGCTTCCTGTCCCCAAAGACAGCAAAGAAAGTGGCATTTCCAGAAGCTCTCCTTGGGAGTAGAGAAGCCTGTTGTCCCATGACTCGTGCCCCAAGTCCTGGCCTCATGAGGCATAGCGAGCTGAGTGGGGGGAGCCTCCAGCAGTGATCCCAGGGCACCCCTGACTGGGTCCCCTCCACCCTGATCATCTCAGGAAGCACTTAAGGCACAGTTGAACTTCCAGTAACTTTGAAGGTTGGGCGTTTCCTGTAGAGCGATGAGAGGAGGGAGGTAGGGGTGAGCTACTAAACTGAGCCGTTAAGAACTTCAGAAAGGTCAGAGCCTGGTATCCAAGGCAGGTCTGGGTGTGGGCAGACGTTGTGTCCGGCACCTAGTCTGGCACGAGCCAGCCAGGCTGATCTTGGGGTATTCGCTTTCAAGAGAGCCTCCAGGAGGTCCACAGTGACTCTAGTGCCACCGGACTGGGTGTTGGAGAGGGAAAGCACAGGGGCCCTGGATGAACTGGGTCTCTGGGGAGAACAGGGCTGATGGGCAGTGAGAGGGCACGCAGCCGAACCTCAAAGTCATTGCTTTCTTCAGTCTCATTGAGCCCAGACTGGCGCCGCCGTCCTAGGCCAGTGGTCCCTATGGGAGAACCTTCCATCTGTCCACTGTCCCGCTGTCTTCTGACAGCATAATCTCCTGGTTGAGGTCAAGTCCTCTTTTGCCTCAAGCTTACAGAACGGGAATCCCAGTGACAGAACCACTGGTCTGTCACCAGGGGGCGTAGCCCAACCAGCTGCTTCTGGTCCCTTGTAGCCCCTTGGGCCTGAGCTGCTTCGTGTGATTTTTATCCCCTTCGCCTGCAGCTTCTGCTCATTTTAAAGAACTTGGAAAATAGAAGAGAGTGCAAAAAAGGAAAGGAGAATCAATCACCCATATTTCCAGAAGCCGTTTGTAAAACTTCAACATATTACTGTTTTCTATGTCTACATCCCATTGTGATTTTTAAAAAATCTTTAACTGAGATCATATGGAATATATTCAAACTTATAAGCTTTTCTCCAAAATCACTTTCCTCAAAAAACGAACAGCAAAAGGCCTGATCCAGGGGCTGCAGGTGGAGATTTCGGATGATGTTCCTGTGTGGGTGCCCGCACGTGCTGCTTTGCCCTCATGGGAGCTCGCAGGGCTTGAGCAGTTTCTGGCCTCTGCTGGGATATGATCATTTGTACCATGTTGCAAGTACCAGATATTTGAGAATTTGCGGGAAAGTCGATTATGATTTACGTGAGCTTTGGTCCGGGGGTGCCCTATGCACATGATTTGTTTCAGTCCTGTACCTCTCAGTCCTGCAGGGCATCGGGAGCCACTTCTCCTTTTCTTTGACTCCGCACAGGCTGGGCTTCCTCCCTGAAGCGTCTAAATTGTAGCCCCTGACTCTGCCCCTCCCAGTTCTCTGTTCCTTGTAAGTCCTGCCCCTGCCTCTGAAGAGGCTCAGGGTCTGGTGTTCTGTACTCCACTGTGTCAAAGCTGGTGCTCTCGCCTTCCTCTGATAGCAGCCGCTGCCTGGCCTCCTTTCGTCTGGGGCAGAGAGAGGCACATTAGCCAAAAGGTGGTGCTTGGGCTTCTAATTTCTCAATGAAAGGGATGCTAACAGTAGTTCTTACCGTGGGCATGATCTCTTTCCTTATGCCATTTGGTATTTTGCTTTATTTCGGCTTTTGCTCAAAGGATGATTCTGGAGCCGAGAAGGAGAACGCCTCTGTCCTGCAGCAGAACCCTTCCTTGTCGGGGAGCCGGAACGGGGAGGAGAACATCATCGATAACCCCTATCTGCGGCCTGTGAAGAAACCCAAGATCCGCAGGAAGAAGTGAGTTGGAGGCCAGGGTGCAGAGAGGCCTCCCTGGCCAACCGAGGTGGCCTTCTCTGCTCCTTGGCAGAAAAGAGAGGCTCACCGGTGGTTCTGAACCTTGGGGAGAGCTACTCTGGTGAGAGGGGAATATTTTCCCCTTTCCTCTCCGTCCTCATCTCCCGCATGTACCTTTTGTTGCATGGAGGTTGAGCATCCTGCAGCCCAGGGACCAACCCTCACAGCCCAGCAGTTGTTCCCCCGCAAGAAGGAGAGCAGCTGGGGCCCCCACCAGGCGGGCTCCATGGATTCCTCTTCTTTCTAGGTCCCTCTCATGAGCTGAGAAGGAAGCCTGCCTTGTAGAGAGACGTGGATGCCACCCTCCTGGGGGAGTTAAAGCCACTCGAGGGAAGAAGAGGGTGGCCGCCTCGGGGACAAGCCGAGGCTCTAGGGTGTGACCGGGCATGATTTTAATAGCAAACTCTCTATTAAGATTACCTGTTTTCACTGGATGTTTGGGTTGACGAAGATACAATGGTAACAATGAGGCTTTTTAAATCAGCCAGGCCATACCGTGGGGCACAGGGGCAGCCAGTGACTTCGTTTATAGTTATGGAACTTGATTCCTTGAAACCTGGGAGACCAGGGAAGGTGGCAGGAAAGAAAGGTGTCTTTACCTGCGTTGCTCACTGCCGGAAAGACTTTGCTTAGTTTGTATTTCAGGATATCCTGACCCCTTTTATTGACTGACGGTTTGTGGCACCTATTTTATCATCCTAGAACCTCCTTACTTCTCACCTCACCTGGGCTCCACGTGCCCTGTAGAGCTGATCGAAGGTGACTTTCCCTCCTTTAACATGTTGGAAACAGGAGGCCCACCCACCGCAGCCTCAGTGTGGGGCCGGCAGGAGTCAGGAGGCATAAGCAGATGCGTGTGGAGTGGAATGAAAGGCAGTACTGACTCATCAGCATCTGGTGAAAGCTCCCTAAAGCAGGGCAGCACCCTCTCCGGAAGGGTTTATCATTTACTGTCCCTCTGTGGACCATGTGCTTGGGAACAACCAAGTGCTGCCCCATCCTGGGAAAAGAGATTTTCTTTGACAAGAGTCTACATCAGTGGATATATTACGCTGTGATTTGATGGAGGAATCACTGGTTTTATGCAGTAGGAAAAGGATTTGCTGGGGGGTAAGAGGTGGCGGGGATGAGATTTTGAAGGCCGGGCTTAGCCTCACGTTCTGAAAGCTGAGAAACCTGTTCGGTCTGCTGGAAGTTGGCGTGGATGGAAGGCCATGTGCCCACCTTATGGCAGAAGTGGGCCAAGAAGAGCCTGCAGGCCTGAATCTGTCCAGCCTCTTTGCCTCTTTATCCTTGATGTGCCCTACAAACCAAAAATGAAAGATGCTGGGCAAGCTGATACCTTTTGACTGTTCTCCAAAGGAAGAGGTTTTAAAACCAAGTTGGAGGAAGAGAAATGCCAGTGACACCTGGAGGTTAACACAGGGTAAAGGAGGAGAATCCTGGGTTAGTGTCCTAAGGTCCATACTGAGCTCTTCTGATACTCGGCTTCCACAGTCATCTCTTAACCTTCCATCCTCTTGGTGAATTTGAAAACTCGAAAAACCTGGTGACTTGACAGCAGGCTCCATGCTCCTCTGGCCTCACTGTTCTCTAAGCATTTCATCCCACTGGCTGGAAGGAAAGTGCTGCTCGTCAGCACCTGAAGAGAGGATACTGAGTGAGAAAATCGGATTCCCCAGCTCTGCACCAAATAAGAGTTTTTTCGGTTTGTAGTGACCTGAAACTCTTCCAGTTGAAAGTAGTCAGATCGGGCCTCTGCTGACCCCCTCTCAGCTTGTCAGTTGGCTCCTGGTGATTCTTGGCCTGTTGAGTTTAAATACAGCTCCAGGTTTGAGCCATGGCACGTGCAGGGCTGAAACTTTCCTGGCTTGCTGTCCTCACCCGCTCCTGGGAGCAGTCATCCCAGCAATTCCTCCTGCTACTGCCCCAAACAAGCACCTGTTGAGTGCTGTAACACTAAGGGATGAGGTGGGATTTGGAAAAGAATTTCCCTTTCTGCTGTTGAGATTGCAGAGGGCTTGCTGCTGTAATTCAGTTCTGCATGAGACACTGGGAGATGGTCGGACAACCTGAAACATTGACCTGACTATCGTGTAAAAACTGTGCATAATCCTCAATGGATATTTATAAGTTTTTATTTTTTATAACTTTGGGGGAATCATGGAGGGAAAAAGTAGTCAACAGAACCAGATTAAGCATGTGATTTATGAGCTCTTAATAAAAGGTCATAATGAAAACTTTGTAAATGAAACAGAATTATAAGCTTTGAACTTAATTTGTATGCAGATGTTATAGCAGTGAGTAAAGCTGTATACGAATAAGTAAGGCTTAGCCCTTATGTTGGACAGAGTACCCTTTTCAACCGTCTAAAACTTTTCTTATTTGGGAAGTCTGCAAACACAAAACTAGGGAGGAAAGTATATATACTTTCCCTATGTATTCTTCACCCAACTTCAACACCTATCAACATCTTTTCTGTTTCATCTATTTCTTCTACTTTTTTCTTTTATTTTTTATTCCTAGAGTATATTTTAAAACAAATCTAAGAGCTATGTCATGTAATCTGTAAATATGTTGTTATGCGTCTGATAGACTTTTTAAAGGTTTTTTTGAGGTAATTATAGATTGAGGATGTTGCCCAAAAAAAAAATGTTCAGGAAGGTCCCATGTACCCTTCACCCAGTTCCTTCATTGGTAGCATCTTGAATAACTGTAGCATAATACCAAAGCCAGGAAAACGACATTGGTACAATCCACAGGGCTTATTCAGATTCCACCATTTCGTGTGTGTGTGTGTGTGTGTGTGTAGTAAAAAGAGTGGATATATGTATATGTATAACTGATTCATTTTACAGCAGAAACTAACACAACATTGTAGGGACTTCCCTGGTGATCCAGTGGTTAAGAATCCGCCTTCCAATGCAGGGGATGCGGGTTTGATCCCTGGTCGGGGAACTAGGATCACACATGCTGCAGGGAAACTAAGCGCGCGCGCCACAACTACTGAGCTCACATGCCTCAACAAGAGAGCCTGCGTGCCGCAAACTACAGAGCCCATGCACCCTGGAGCCTGCACGCCACAACTAGAGAGAAGCCTGCACACCACAATGAAGAGCCCGCACCGCAATGAAAGATCCCATGTGCTGCAACTAAGACCCGACGCAGTCAAAAAAATAAAACAAATATTTTTATAAAAGAACAATGTAGCAGATAAACTTATTTTAAAAAAACTAACAACATTGTAACTATACTCCAATAAAAATTAAAATATATATAGAACATTTCCATAGCCACAAGGTTCCTTCATGCTGTCGCCTTATAACCACATCCACCTCTCACCTCTTCCCCATCCCTACCCCCTGGCAGCCACTGCTCTGTTCTCCATCTCTATAATTTTATTTAAAAAATATTATATAAATGGAATCAAATCAAAGTTTGTGACCTTTTGAAGTTGGCTTTTTTCACTTAGCATAAGCGAGTGAGAGCCATCCAGGTGGCTGTGTGTGTCAGTAGTTCCTTTCTTTTTATTGCTGAGTAGTATCCCAAGTATGGATGTACCATGTCTGTTTAACCATTCACACAAGGAGGGACATCTAGGCTGTTTCCAGTTTGGGGCTATTACGAATAAAGCAGCTGTAGACATCTGTGTATAGGCTTTTATGTAAACATAAGTTTTCATTTCTCTGGAATAAATGCCCAAGAATGCAACTGCTGGGTCCTGTGGTAACTGTATGTTTCATTTTAAAAGAAACTGAAACTCTTCCAGAGTGGCTGTACCAGTTTGCGTTCCTGCTAGCAGTGTACGAGTGAGCCAGTTTCTCCACATCTTCGCCAACATTTGGTGTTACCTTTTTTTTTATTTTTTAATTTTAGCCATGCTGATAGGTGTGCGGCAATACTCATTGTGATCTTAATTTACGTCTCCCTAAGGGCTAGATGTTAAACATCTTTTTTTCTTGGCTGTGTTGGGTTTTTGTTGCCACGCGCGGGCTTTCTCTAATTGCGGCAAGCGGGGGCTACTCTTCCCTGAGGTGCGTGGGCTTCTCATTGTAGTGGCTTCTCATTGCGGTGGCTTCTCGTTGCGGAGCATGGGCCCTAGGGCACACAGGCTTCCGTAGTTGCGGCACGCAGGCTCAGTAGTTGTGGCGCACAGGCTTAGTTACTCTGCAGCATGTGGGATCTTCCTCAGCCAGGGATCAAACCCATGTCCCTTGCACTGGCAGGCAGGTTCTTAACCACTGCGCCACCAGTGAAGTCCCTAGATGTTGAACTTCTTTTCATGTGCTTTTTTGCTGTCTGTGTATCCTCTTTGGTTAATTATCCATTTAAATCTTTTGTCCATTTTCTAACTGGCTTGCTTCTTTGTTTTTAGATTCCTTTATATATTCTGGATACAAGAACTTTGTCAGACGTGTGGTTTGCAAATACTTTCTCTACAAGCTGGTCTTTTCATTATCTTCACAGGGATCTTTTGCAGAGCAATAGTTTCTAATTTTGATGAAATCCAATTTATTTTTTCTTTTATGGACTGTGTTTTTGGGTTGAGCCCTACGTCCTGCAGATCTTTCTCTGTATTTTTTCTAATATTTTTATAGATGTAAGTTTTATGTTTTAGGCCTTGATCTAGTTTGAGTAATTTTTTTTTAAGGTTTTTGGGGTCTTTTTGTTTGGTTGGTTTGGTTTGGTTTTTTTTGGCCAAGCTGCTTGAGGGATCTTAGTTCCCTGACCAGGGATCAAACCCGGGCCCCTGCAGTGGAAGCATGGAGTCCAGGACCACCAGGGAATTCCCTTGAGTAAATTTTTTTATAAGGTTGGGGTTTAGGTTGAGTTCACTATTTTGCCTGAGGATGTCCAATTGATCCAGCACCCTTGATCAAAAGTTACCCTTCTTCCACTGAACGATGTTTGTACCTTTGTCAAAAATTAGGTTTTTGTATGGGGGGCATATTTATGTGGGTTGATTAAGACTTTCTTTTTTTAACGTAATCACCATATCAATATCACACTTAACAAATGAACAGTGATTTTATAACATCCCCTAGTATCCAGTTCATATTCGGATTTTTCCAGTTGTCTCAAAGATGTTTTTATTTTATTTTTTAATAATTGGCTGGTTTGAATCAGGATCAAAATAAGATCCACACATTGCACTGGGTTTTCACATCTAAGTGTACAGCAGTCCCTCCCAGCTCCGGCCTGGGGATGAGGATGCCCCTTTCCTTTGTTTCTAACCACGAGGCAGTTAAAAGGTGATGAGCGGCAGTTAACTGAAACACCAGTAACAAAGTGGCCTGGCTTTGGGGGCCGGGCGCCGGGGTGGGGGACAAGTGTAAAAGGAACTGGCTTTCCTGGGCTTTGTTTTTGTGGAATCCTGAAGTCGCTCAACTTAGAGGCATGTGGTTCAATAAAACAACTTAGAGGCACGTGGTTCAATAAAACAAGACTCGGTGATATTGGTACTTATGGCCCGACCACAGCCCACCAGCTGTGAGATCTAGGGCAAATCCCTAAGCGTCCAAACCAGTTTCCATAAAATGAATACTGGTGATACCTCATCAGGAGGATTTAATGAGAACGTCTGTACCTGTGCCTTATAAACGACAACGTTATTCCATTGCCGGACTTCTCTTTTTTCTTTTCTGTTGTCTTTAAAATTATACACAAGCTAATACTAATTGAGAACTTAACCCTTGCCAGTCACTGTTCTAAGTGTCTTACACATCTTGACTCATTTAATCCTCACGATTACCTCAATGTTCTTACTGTCCCCACCTGCAGTTGAGGACCTGGAGACCCAGGAGTTCAGAAACACCTCAGTCCGCTTGGCTGCTGAGGAGCAGAGCTGCGGTCCTGCCCCCAGGCATCCTGCTCAAGTCCACGCTTTTTACCTTTCACACTCTTGCTTCGAGACCGCATGATTCTGTTCCTCGAAGGCACTGACGCTACTGTGTGCAGAGTGGCTTCCACCGCACACCCACACGGTCTCTGGGAAGGGAGCTAGAAACGGAACCAGTTACGGAGAGAGTGATGGTGAGGCTGCTAATCACTGTTATTCATTCCTGGAAGAGTTTTGCGTGGTTTATGAATAATGACTCTGTAACAATGGCTCATCTTCCTATAAGCTCCACCTTTGTCCCCTGACCCCCAGCCCCGCACTAGGACTTGTAGTTCATCCCTACTGCTCTCCATGCAACTTCCAAACTGCCCAACCCGGCTTTCCAGGTCCTCTACCAATTCACTGTTTCTTTTGGATAACTCATATCTTTCCTTCATCTGACAAGTATGGATCTAGTGCCTTCTATGTATGTCAGGAACAGTGCCAAGCTCTAAGGATACCATAGTGAACAAGACAGACATGGCCCCTGCCCCCAGGGAATCCATTCTAGTCAGAAGACACACAAAGAAAACATAGACCAAAATCACCAGACCGTGAAGCGCTAAGGACAGAAACAGGTTTTTATGCCTTGAGGGTAGGCGGCATCCTCATCACCACTGCCTCCTGTGCCTTCATTTGTGCGCTTCCTCCCCATCGCCTCCTAAAATCTTGCCTGGCCTTCCAGCCTCTACATCCTCTCTCCAGATGACCTCAATCCCTCCCTTCTTCATTCACTCATTCGACAGATACTTATTGAGCTACTGTGCGCAGGCGCCGAGTCAGACGGTGGGAGGCAGCGGAGGATAACTAAGCCACTATATTCTCTGACCTTCTGGTCTCTTTGGGGGCCAGGCAGCTCACAAACCATAGGCATGTAATGGGTGGTGAATTGGGGGCCTGAAAGAAAAGCCACGGTATATCCAAGCTGGGTAATGTGAGGAAAATTTAATAAAAGGGTCACCTCCAAGGGTGTGGGCCAGGTATAGGGGAGCACAGCATAGGTAGCCAGACCTGGGTGAGTGAGAGGGAGGGGAGGGAGCAGTTACTAGAACCTGGAGAGAAGCCGAGGTGAGGCCCTTCTGCTAAGAGCTGAGGCTGTGGCCATTGAGGGGCCAGTGGGCGGCAGCCACCCTGCAGGGAGAGAGCCAGTCCAGGGATTAATGCCCTGGCCTCCTGCCCCCTCCCACCTTCCGGGATCCTGCCTGTTCTCTGCTGAACGGAAGCCAGAGGGTGTGGGGCCTGTCCCTGCAGGCAGAGCGGCCAGCCTCCCAGGGCCCTGCGCAGGGTGGAGAAGTGGTGAGTGAGCGGATCTGGAGGGGCAGGTGAAAGGGGCTGGGTACTGAAAGGGTGCCATTTTAGAAAGGGTGGGGAAGGAGAGCTGTTGGAGCAGGGCGCCGCGTGCATCGATGGGACCAGCTGCATGGAAAAGCATTCCAGGGAGAGGGAAGAGCCAGCACAGGAGCTCTGAGGCAGGGTGTGGGCTCCTCGACCCTGGAGAGCGGCGGGAGAGGGGGCCGGGGAGGAGCAGGGCCCAGTCAGTGCAGAGCCTCCTGGGCCTGAGTCAGGGCTTTAGGTGCTCTTCAGAGAGAGAGATGGGTAGCCAGGGAGTGACAGCAGTTGACTTAGCTTATCAAAGGGTCATTCGAGCTCCTGGGTGGCATTCTGGCCGGAGGGACACCATTTCTCTTCAGTAATTTTCACGTAGTCTGGCACTTAGCAAACATGATGGAACTGGGGGGAAGTGAGTCTCCTCAGTGAGTTGGAACTGGGGGGAAGTGAGTTTCCTCCTCTCCCCACAGGAGAGCCAACAAGGCCGAGAGTGACTACCCCCTGCAGACTGAGCCCTGTATCAGTACCAAGGGGAGAGGAGGAAACACAAACACACGGATAACTCCCTCCCCCTGAGGTGTATCCCTCCCCCTGGGGTGTTCGTCAGGGAGACAGATAAACACTGGAACCTGTTTAACACCACTTACCAAGACGGAGGAACCACTGTCAATAGAGGGTCGAGTTGAGGACTTGAGGACTTGAGGGATAAAGGCTGTGCTGAGGTCTGAATGGGGAGTGGTGAGTAAGTGAAGCTTCTGAAACAGGTAAGGACAGGGGAGGGCGGAGATGGCTTGAGGGAAGGCGGGAGGGCAGGTGACCCAGTGACTGCCCCAGCACAGCCCCTGAGGCCCCTGTGCCCTCCTGTTGCGGTCTGGTCTTCTCTTGTGAGGCTACTTTGGTGTCAGCGGTCACCAGCCTTCTCCTTTTAAAGATGGTGGAAGCCCCCTCCGTGGTGTTGGCCCTCAGATTGAACCCCTGCTGGGCAGGTTGGGTTTTGGAGCGCGTGTGCCGGCTCTGTAGCAGGGTTGCCCCAGGAAGGGGTCATTTGAACTGGTGGGGTCCAGGGCTGGGAGGGGCCCTGGCCCAGCTCCTTTACCCAGGTGAGTTGCTAATGATTTGAGAAGCTTCTAAAGAGGAGGGCCGGCATCCTCAGAGGCTCTTAGAAGTGTTTGTATGGGGACAAGGGGAATGACCCGAGCCTTGTCAGTTATTTGTCATCACGAAAGAGCCCTGGGGCCCCAGATTTTAGTGGTATTTCTTTTGGATTTTGTTGGGCGTTCATTTATGAATTTTCTTCAGCCACTGACAGTGGGGTCTATCATTCTTCGGTTTTACCCAGGCTCGTACTGAAACAAGTTTCTAATTCTCTGAACATCACCTGACAGTGCCTGGGTACAAGTGGGGAGCAGCTGGCCTGAGGGTAGAGATTTCCCATGGGCACTCTCACTCCTGGAATCAAGTTCAAGGTATTTTTCTTCCTCTTGGAGCAGGGGGCTCACCGTCATCTCCATTTTATTACGGTTTTTTTTTTCCTACTTTACTAAAAAGTTATTTAATTTTGGGCTTCCCTGGTGGCGCAGTGGTTGAGAGTCCGCCCGCCGATGCAGGGGACACGGGTTCGTGCCCCGGTCCGGGAAGATCCTACATGCCGCGGAGCGGCTGGGCCCGTGAGCCATGGCCGCTGAGCCTGCGCGTCCGGAGCCTGTGCTCCACAACGGGAGAGGACAAAACAGTGAGAGGCCCGCGTACCGCAAAAAAAAAAAAAAAAAAAATGTTATTTAATTTTGAATAGATAATATATGTACACAGTATAACATTTAAAAGACAGAAAAAGATATAAGTAATAACTAAGCATCCCCCTCCTCCCCTCTCTCCCAGACTCTCAGTTCTCCTCCTTGGAGGCCTCCAGTATGTTGATATCAATATTATCTTATGTATTTTCCCAGAAATAGTCTATGCATTAAACACAAATGCCCGTATATACTTTCTTCCCTTTTTATATAATGGTAGATAATACCCATGTATAAACTATCCATGTTTTTTGTTTCCCACTTCTCAGAGTATATTTGGTGATAGTTCCATGCTAATAATAAGAAGCTTCTTCTGTTTTATGGCTGCATCGTGTCCCATTGTATGGCTTTACTGTAGCTTATTTATTTAACCTGCTCCTGGTGGATGGACACTTAGGTAGTGTCCAGCCTTCTGTTCTTTCAAGTGTCGATGCGATGAGTGACTTTGTGCCTCTGTGATTTCACTGCACGTGCCTACTAACTGGACAGATGTGCAAGCAGGTGTGCCTTCCACAGCCTCTTTCCACCCCCATGCTCAGACATCTCTGACCACCTTCACCAAAGCCTGCTCCCTAGTAGTCATCACGCTGGGAGTCCTTCAAAGTAAAAGCAGCTGAGGGACCAGGCTCTAAAGCCAGATTACAGGGTTTCTCAACCTCAGTACTACTGACATTTTGGGCTGGCTTTGCTTGTTGTAGGACATTTGGCAGTAATTGTGACCTCCACCTGCTAAATGCCCTTAGGATCCTCCCAGGTCTGACAAAAAAATGTCTCCAGACATTGCCAAAGGTCCCCACCCCCATAAGAACCACTGAGTTAAAATTAGGCACCAGGGCTGTGTGTTCAGGCACCAGTGAGAGGCCTGTGGAAAAGAATTGGGAATAGTAGAGATTATTTTTCCCTCTCAAATCAGAATATATCTTCTTCAACTGTTTCCTTTGTTTAATTTCTTCACGGCTAGACCACAGGAATGTTCTAGAAGACAGTGTGTGTAACACTTCAGAGCTTGCATAGGAATCCTGGCTGTGCAGCTTGCTAGCTCTGTGACCTTGGGCAAGTTACTTGCCTTTCCCTCTGTTTTCTCATCCATAAACTGGGGGTAATAAAAATACCTACATCCTGGGTTGTTGGGAGGGTTCCTTGAAATTATATGCGTGAATGCTCGGAACAGTGCCTGGTACATAACAAGTTGTGGCAGGATGGGTTCCCGGGAGACTGAGATTTGTGTGCAGGACGTGTTTGGGGAGAGCCTTCAGGATGCACACCTGTGGGGTAAGGAGGGGAGGCGGCGGGACAGAGGGAGAAGCGGGGCCACCCTGGGGAGCCCTGGAGCTATGAGCCATCTTCAGAGTTGCCCTGAGTTGGAAGGAGGGACTGTCGGCGAATGTGGGCCACCCCCAGGGAGCAGGCATGACCTTGGGTGAGCTGGCTGTCTCATGGAAAGAGCAGCCGCATGGGGTGGGGGGGGGGGGGGGATGAATTGGGAGATTGGGATTGACATATATACACTAATATGTATAAAATGGACAACTAATAAGAACCTGCTGTATAAAAAAATAAAATTCAAAAAAAAAGCAGTTGCATGGAAAGGACGGTCCAGGAAAGGACCCAGGTGAGCGCAGTCAGCCGCTGCGGGGGCCACACCTTCAGTCCTGAAAAGGGAGGGGTGTCAGGGCAGCAGCAGGGCGTCCACGGTGTGAGCGCTCATTGGCCAGTATTGTGAGGCTAGATTCCAATAGAAGCAATAGTGCTTCTACACTGCGGACACCAGGAGTGACAGCCAGCCTAGCAGCACCCCGTGCCTCCTCTCAGTGCCCTGCTTACCCCTACCCTGCTCGCTCCTCTTACCGCCCTCGCAGGAGAGGGGCTCATAGCCACCCCAGCCACCGTGCCCTTGAGGCAGAGGGCAGAGCAGCCCGTGCTGGTTGGCTCTTCCCCATTCTCCAGCTCTGTGGCCTAGGCCAAGTCGCTTGGCCTGTCGGGAATTTAGCTTCTTCACTGGTACCTGGATGCTGCCTGCCCAGAGAGGGGTGGGGTGATTAAATGGGGTACTGCACAGCAGCAGTTCTCAAAGTTCGGTCCTTGAGTCATCAGGACTGGCAGCCGCATCTGGGGACTTGTTAGAAATGTGAATTCTGAGGACCCACTGCGAACTCACTGAATCAGGAGCTCTGGGAACGAGACCCAGGGATCTGTGTTTTCAAAAAAGTCCTCCAGTGTTTCTGATGCACGCTCTATTCTGAGAAATACTGGCAGACGGGGCAGCACTTAGCTCCGTGCCAGGATCCTAAGGGGACCCCTGTCAACCTCAGCAGAATCTGAACCTGAACTCCACCTCCTGGGCTTGAGGTCAGGCACCTGTGAGTAGAGTGCCACCTGCTGGTTACAACCTGTCTCGCGTGCACACGCGAGATTCACACAAGGGATTCAGGCTAGACCCATGGGGCAAGGACAGCAGTGCTTGACACCAAGGCAAGTGACACAGACGTCCTTTCCTCACTCTCCTCCACTCTCCCTGGAGAAATCAGGTTAAAGTGAATGTCAAGGGCAGCTTTAAATGGCCAAGAGGTCACCAAAGATATCAGCAGTGTGTGTGTTTGTGTCAGCAATAACAGGTACCCTTTCCCAAGGGTTTGAGTGTCAGACACTGTAGGAGAAACAGGCAAACAGACAGCAGCCCCCCTTCCTCTGCACGCTTGTGCATGCACTCCCTCCGGGGTCACAGGGCTCAGGGCAGCCTTGATGACCTGGTCACAGGCCAGCAAGGAGGGCCAACCACAGTGCTGAGCCAACAAACGGTGTGTCCCATGTGGTCACATGCTCTGTTTGACCACCCGGCTCCCCTGGGTGGGAGAACTTTGAATTCTCCTGCCTTATATTCCAGTTACGTGTGTGTGTGTGTGTGTGTGTCTCCTGCACTTGACTGTGAGCCTCTTGCCTGGCTCCTGGCCTTGCACTGGGTGCCCCCCACCTCACTGAACTGTGGGATTGAATTGATAGAGGTTTGTGCTACCTCAGATATTTGGAACAAATTCTGGAAAGTTTTGAGCCAAAGGGCAGGAAGATCACAGATAGGGTAGGAAAGAGACAGACAAACAGAGAGAGAGGAAGCAGGAGACTACCAAACCCTCTCTGAGTGGCTCAGGAAACAAATGAGAGTGACGAGAAGTGGCAGGAGATCGACCGCTGCTGTGAGGAAATCTTAAAGGAGACCAGAGGCTCAGTCTGGAGAAGACAAGATTGAAGAAATACAGTTTTCAGGAATGAGAAGGGAGCATCCTGCAGTTGGGGTGCCAGTGGCATCCCACCCCTGAGAGCAGTACTGAACGCATGCTCCCACACTAAAGTGGGAGAAATTAAAAACAGCAAGTCTGCTGGGTCCCCACTCCGTGCGTAGATCCCTCCTAGGCCCTGAGAACCCTGTGCAGGGAGCTCGCTGTTTAACAACAACAACAACAAAAACCCCAGGGACTTCCCTGGTGGCGCAGTGGTTAAGAATCCACCTGCCAATGCAGGGGACACGGGTTCGAGCCCTGGTCCGGGAAGATCCCACATGCCGCAGAGCAACTAAGCCCGTGCACCACAACTACTGAGCCTGAGCCTGTGCTGTAGAGCCCGTGAGCCACAACTACTGAGCCCGTGTGCCACAACTACTGAGGCCTGAGTGCCTAGAGCCCGTGCTGCGCAACAAGAGAAGCCACTGCAATGAGAAGCCAGCACACCGCAACGGAGTAGCCCCCGCTCTCCAAAACTAGAGAAAGCCCGTGGGCAGCAACAAAGACCCAATGCAGCCAAAAATAATTAATTAATTAATTTAAAAAACCCCTAGAACCATAAGGCTTTCTCCTGAGGGAGGGCTCTCCAGGTGGGCGGGACAGTGAACAGGTTGGTCCTAACTGGCTTCTGCCA